TGATTTATCGCTATATATAATATGGCTGTAGTTCAGGAATATTACCTTGTTAATGGTTATAAGCGTATTAGCTATTAGCTTATCACGTCATAATAATAATTGTGTAATTATGTAATTGTGAAATTGTGAAATTGTGTAATTGTGTAATTCTATACTATTCATATTTTCCAAAAGAGTCAAACAATAAATTGTTTTTAATTTGTATTTTGTATAAATGCATTTGGTAAAGTATTGAGTTTTTCAAATTTTTCCTTTGTTAAGAACTAGTCATAATAATAATAGTAATAAATAATAAGTAATAACTAGTAACACTAGTGCCATAATATTTGTAATAAATACAATATTAAATAAATTTAAATTATCTCCACAGAGAGGTTTCTTCTCGCCATTTTCCATGTCATTATTTTAGTTTATTTAGTATCATCAAATAAGTTTTTTGTTTAAACTTGCAACAGATAGCTTAGTAAAAAATGTTGAGAAAAAAATACAATACTAAATACTTAATAAATGTCATATGAAACGTTAAATCAGTGAACTTTTTTATTAGAGATTTAAAATGTGATATGACGTTGCATAAAATATAAGATCGTTATTTTTTAGTTTAAGATTTATTTTTCACATAAATGAAACATTTCAAGAAAATAAATTTATTAATAATATAAAATCACCTTATTTACAATATTATAATAATATGCATTTTGAAATAAATATATAAATATTGTATACCAATGTTTTACACGACACAATTCAAATATCATACCGATGATATAAGTTATTATTATAATTTTATTGCAATAATGTTTGGTTTTTTATAGCAAATCGTGACCTGGTTGAAAGACGGTGTTCCTCGTAAATCCAGTTCTTCAACGCCTCCTACTTACACACTGAACGTAGATTCCGTGCAAAAAGACGATCAGGGCATGTACCAGTGTGTGGTTACCAACAAGCTGAACAACGAAATGGCACATTCGTTCGCCGAACTCAGGCTGAGTGGTGAGTAAAAACCTATGTGTGACCAATTTATACACAATATTATAATCATATCCGGTAGTAATTATACCATTCTAATTATTATACATAATTACTGCAAGTTCAATATTGATCACTTGTCGTATAAAATATAAATATTACAAAACGATATTACGATTAATTGTCTATAGATGTGATAATCTTAAAGTATAAAACCTGTGGGAGTATTTTAATTTGTTTTTGAAAACCATTACGGTGAAAATCTCAAATTGGCTTGCACACTTAATTAAATTCACACTGAATTCACGGCACTGCTTACCTAGTTATGCCTGTATATTATAATGTCAACATTCCACGTGTTTCAGTTAATTTGTCTTCGATGGTCTGTAATATTTCGTCCTCTCCGTTGTCTATCACCATTAACAATAATTTTTATAAATACCTGTGAATTCAAACCCTAAACCAGCTATCAAAAATTCACAAGCTCTAGCTTCATCGATGACTTAAAATCCACTAATTGTACATTTGTCCACCTTCCCCAAACGGATAGCTAAAAACATGCTTTCCTAGGGACTTGCCTCTATATTCTGTGGGGTGGCACTACTTTATGCTTACCCATATTGCATTCCACTGTTGTCCTTATTAATTTGTCAATATAATTATTTGTTGTTCCCAAACATATATGTATATTAAACGTAATTTATTTTAATTAAATTAAATAATATATATGACCATTATGTGACCGTCTGATAGTAAAATATAAAAGTGTCGCGATACTGTTGTAAAGCTACAGAAAATGATCAGTAGGCCTTAATGTAGACTGAAAAAAATCTGCTGTAGTTGATGTAATGATATTTCTTCTTTGTCGTTGTCGACAAAATGTGCTCATTGCCGCAGCCACATAATCAAATGAAAATCTTGAAAGCTCTCGTGCATTGGAGATCGTTTGATTTGAAATACACCCCACAGACCCCGCAAAGGATGTGGCTCAGTAAATGAAAATAGTAATATATTATATTACCCTAACCCTCCGACAAATAGGGCGATCGAATGATTCCACATCCATTAGAATATAATATCGAGTAGGTATAATCGATCATAGCCGATCGTACATAATATAATATGACTTTTGTTTTCAAAACCTTCTCTGTTTATCTGGTGAGTTACAACTTAATAATAATAATAATTATATACAGTTCGTTTTGGTCTGTTAACCAGACAGATATGACATCGATATGACAGATGCATTTTGAGTAACAACACGTTTACAGTTTCGTAGACATTTAGCACTTCAAAATCCGTTTCGTTCTAACGTCGACTATAATAATTGTTAATCTGACGTATCCCGATTTACGATTAACAGTGTCAAGCTATAGGCTAGACTTTTTTGAGTGACCGACTCTTCCGAAAAAAATCCGTAAGCCCGTCGATTAATAATGCACGTAAGGTAATTCCATTGAATCCATAATATTTACAAAGTTTGGATGGCCAAACTATAAAGACCAAGTTGTGATTGATGATCGACCGAGTTTTCATTTTCGTTACGTAGCAAAATATTATCTACAAATATATTTTATATCATGTATGTGTCGTTCCGGCAATTTAGGTACCACGGCCCATATATTATACTTATCAGTCGATTGAAGTACAAATTTCATAGTATTTCGTTTGAAATTTCGGGAACCCATTTCTCGAAATAAAATCCATCCAGCGGGAGGGTTTTTTTTTTAACTTTTAAAACTCAAAGCCGCCAGTTATAACCCTTATATTATAAATTTATAATATCAGGGATATGTTGCTATTAATAGTATACCGGCAAACGTAATATATTACCGGTACTCGATGCATACCCAGGGTGAACTTTTTATAGCTAATTTATCCAATGCGGTCATATACCGAGAAATAACCCGTAGGTATACCATATATTATATACCGTCATGTTTGTATGCATGTACATAGATATTAAAAATATTATATACATGATAAATCCCTGTGATTTCGGTGAAAAAATAATCGAGTTTCTTTTGGTCCGACGACAAGACGTAGTTCTCTAAGTAGTCAGGTGCTGTGTGTCGAGTAGTTCCGTGTCCACATCGTCAAGTATTATGTGAATATTATTCATAGTGCAGTATAAATGGAATGCACTATCCCTTTAGGGGTAAATTCGTATGTTATGATGAGGTATGATGTAGAATGTTTACTCGCCGCGACCGTATATTATATAATAATATTATGCCCAGTGCTCCACTTGATATCGATCCGCCATTCGTGGATAGATCAATGGGTAGGTACATAATATTATTTTCTTTTGAAGAAATACAGACGTATACATTTTTTTATACGTATACGGCTTGTTTCTGATGATTGGAAAACTCTATGTTTGGTCGTTTAATTTTAAACGGAAATGATTTGTCCATCATGATCCTAAGGCCTCGTTTGTACTCGAGTATTAATACCCTTTGTAATTTTATTTATTTAGGTTTACTAATATTTTTTTTTATTTCCACCAAAAAACTGTGAGATGTGTAATAGAATTTTACATTATACATACAATATGTTACGTGTGCTAATTATGTTAAATTATTAGTCACTTTTATTTTAAAATAGTCTAGATGAAGTCATATAACTATTATTATATATATAATTTTTTTTTTTAGTTTTGTTCCTAATATGAGGACTGAATAGCATTTGAATTATACAAGAGATGGGACTTATTACCAGGACTTGAAAGCGATTGAACAAATTTCGGTTTGGTTTCGATTTTGTATACTGTTTTTTAATTTTCGATTTTATTTTCAATTGTTCAATACCGGTATTAAGAATTTTGGTTTTGGTTTCTATGTGGTATACTGGTTTCCAATTCTTTTCGGTTTTGGTTTTGTTTTTATTTTTGATTTCGGTTGTATAACGGTTTATACTGGTTTCTGAAATCGGGTTTGAAACTAGTTTCAAACTCCACTTATTAAGTTCAACAATGTACTCGGCTATAGCTAGTATTATATTATATTTTAGTGTAGGTTCGCAATGACATTTTCAAAATAATTAGAATTGTTTTAATCTATTTCATATTTATACACAACTAATAGCATAATACATTTCTAATAATAACATAAATATATAATAAATGATACATAATGATATAGGTATATCAACCATCTCCATCCAGAATCATTTTTGGTATCGTTAAACTGAATTCAACAAATTCATTCGTCAATGACGAGGTTCACTCAACCCCAACTGTACAAAATAGCATACCTACTTGTCAACTTTTTACTTTTGACCCCTCATTCTACAAGAGTCTAATTAAGAACCAATTTGTTACCAGAAACCACACTCAAAGTTGAAGATTGAAGCATTTTTACTGTTCACAAAAGTGACGTCACCGCACACACAAAAGAAAACATTAAAAAAAATACATATCATTGTAAAACCAATACATTCATTCCTTCACTCAGAATATAAAAGTAGGCTTTTACAGTATACTACGTTGTAGTGACAGATACAAGAACACGGCACTTATGATATCGTGTCAACGCATATATTAAACACAACAGGCTGCGTACGTATTATGTATCACCACGGATTTACTGTAAATTATTATCACATGACAAGTGGCTGTGGTCGCCGGCATATAGCGCAACTTTATGAGTGTTAAGGATTTCCAAAATTGTTCTAAAACCACGAAAACTATGCACATTAATAATCATGTATTTATAATCAACGAATATTTTTTGTCCGATATCGTTCTTTTACACTCTTACAACATCATTAGCTGGTTGCGATTAATTATTTACGACTGATATTATGTTGTATTGTAATATATTATATTTTTTAACAAAAGCGTCCATTATATTTTGTTAATTACCAATACATATTAATATATGTAGGTGCCTAGTTATTTACAATCATATCCAATATCACTATATCCGTGTGGTCACGGCTTTCGACGATAAGCTTTTGTTATATTATTATTGTATTGCATTCGTTATTATTTCTATTTCTGCTACCATCCTATATACAATAATAATAATATGTCGATCCCGTTCGTCGCGAAGTCGCACTCGTTCTGGCCGACCGCTATACTGCAAACGTCGGTCCCAAAGGGTCTCGGCCAAGCGCCGTTCGCAATCTGTCAGAGGTCAGACGTGTTTCGTCGTCTTCCACTCGCTGAAGGCTGTAATCGGCTACTGGGCCCATCTCATGGGTATTCAGGACGACAAAAAACAAAAACGGTGCTTGTGTGCAGACAGGCACGGAGAAGTTTCACTGTTGGTGTGGTGATTGACACGTCTGTAATTCCCGGGAAGCCCCGGTGACTGCGAGTTACGAGAATCGTGTCGTACAAGTCTCGGCAGCTTTGTAATTATCGCCAATGTATTTTCCGTCTAAAGTTGAGCGACATTGTACCGCAAATAGCATCGTCTAGTTTCACTGAAAATTCTACATCACGTGCAATAATTCGTTTGGGTACCTGTCTCACGCCAACAACTATGTTTTTTCAACATTCAAATTGTTTTTTTAGTCTATTATTGAAGGCCTTGTTCCAATTTAGTCATAGGTACACAAATCACGTTTATTGAATTATTTTCTTGAAAATAATTCCAGCCTGTCATGACACAATCAACTATAAATATTGTAAATTTGACACTCTTATTATAATTATGGATATTATTTACATACCGTTTATCAAAATTCTGCACCGCGATCAATGTTATGTAGGATATATATGATATATAATATATATTATATATATATATATATATATATATATATATATGGTTCACCGTTAATACTCACTTCCCATTTTTTATTTAATAATACATATTTTATTAAAACACTTTATTTTTAATTAGTATTGATAAATAAAAAGTTCACTTTAAAGCCATCATATTTTCCATGTTCATTATCATAGACTAATAGTCTTTAGTACACAAAGTTAAATAACCCTAAAACTGCTCGTTTGAGTTTTGATTTCGATACATTAAAATTAAAAATCGGGTATCTATTTGACAAATAGAACTTTGTGTCGACAAATCACAATTTCTTAAGTTTAATAAACGATTTTATTCAACAGTATCTTCGAAAAATCCAAATATCAGATTTTTGTGGTAGTTGTAAAAATTATTCTAGGTAAATATGTATGATATACATTAATTTTGATATAACACGACGGAAATATGAAGCTAAGTGAGAGTATATCTTTGAATAATATCTGTGAAATTCGTTATTTTTCACAAAATAGGTATACTCAACATATCGAAGAGCTTTTAAAAGTATCATGAATTATTAATAACTAATATTATATTACGATATTAGTCTACATTTTTATAATATAGGTACCTGCCATTTGGCATTTTCACCTTTTTTCCACTTTATCATAACTCCAATTTTAAAAGCATTTTTGATTATCTTAATTGCACTTTTCATAAACTGTTAGTGAAATAAGTAAAGCGCCCTACTCATAACATTTATAATCATATTGATTGAACTCACGGGTGAGAGGCAAGCTTTTAATGCGTAATATCGTAATTAAATCGGAAAATTATTTATGAAAAATATACAGAAAAGCAGAAATAACTAAACTAATAGCAATTACTTTGGTTTTAAATTTACAATCAATAAACATTTATTTTTTGTTTTTAATACATAATGTATTATTAATTATCATAAAATAATATTGAAAATTTAATTGCTATTATTTTGTTTTACTATACAAATTAATGGCAATTAAATTAGATAGGTTACTACTATCTACCTGAATTTTGCATTATAATACATAAGTTGTGCATAAGATAGTAGGCAAAGACAACTGGTGTGAATATTAGAATAAGATTTATGTCAGTTCAGCACTCCAACGTGTATGTTTCAAATCGTACTCATCGATCCACTTATATATTCCAATTATATTGTGTAGTGTTTGTTAATACCTTAGAATGCTGCAGGTGGGTGTGTAAGTACTTTCGTACATCGCTTTTGTAGCTTTCGAGGGTTATTGCCTATTAGCAATAGTATAATATAGATTTTAGTATGTACACATATATTACACTAAATGTGTACTTTAAGTGTCTTTAACACAATTGTATTTAAAATAAATCACAGCTAAAAAATATAAAATTAAATGCTTAAGAATATAATAACCAGAATTTTCAATTTTTTTTTAATTTTTTCCCGACAATATTGTAACACAATAGAGACAGGTTTCTCGTATGTTTTAAACATATTATATTATGTTATGCACGATTCCCATTAATAGAATAGTTATTAAACAATTTTTTTTTTATTATTTTATCTATTATAACCCATAATAGCAGTGCTCCGCACTTAAAACTGTTTAAGTACTAAATTCTATAATAGTACAAAACTACGTTCACCTACATGAAATTATTGTTTTACAAAATAATTATTATTTCAAATTTGAAATTACACAAACTTATTACTGTCGCTTAATATTTTCAAAAACGATTTTTTTCATATCAACAATCAAGACTGTCCACAGAAACTATATAATAATATCAGTTATAGTGTTTAATTAAGTTTCTTTTACTAGAACTACCTAAACATAGAACTACTATATTAATACTATCATTCTTGCTGTATTAATTGTCAATCATGTCTGATTATATTTCTTAAAGTTAATAATATTATTAAAACGTATTATTTTAATTACTATGTAGTTATATATTATGTAGTGATATATATAGATGATAACACTCTAAACTAAAACTAGGTACATTATTTAAATAATTTAATATTAAAATATAGCTAGTGAATGGTTTCTATTAGATGGTGGTGGCCAGGACCACTAGTCGACCTTTGTTATAATATATGTGGGTATATATATATATATAATACACATGTATTATATATACGAGCTCATACCTTTATAATAATAACCGTCTCGCAACAGGAAACAGTCTCGTCGAGTTTTGTTCACCGGGACTACTATGAATATAATATACATGTATTGTATCATTATAATATATAGTATAGTAGCTGCAGGGCTGAGGTGTACTGGTGGTCTATCCGGACACGCTCGCGGGATTTACGTGTATTCCTTAAAGCGGATATTTGAAAATAATATCAGAACCCCTTTTTGACCGCTGTTGAATAGCGATGCCAGGTTATTTATGAATATCATTATGTGCAAGTGTAATGTGCATTCGTATACCTTACATGAATAGGTACACATAAATATGCGCTCTCACACACACACATATTTATGTATAGATAACTTTAGATCTATTGTTTCTTGTACTACGTTTACACACACACACATACACACACACACACTTACACCACCCACATTTATAGTAATAATATTATTAAGTATAGAGTACAACTATACGAGCAGGCAATCTAATGCCACCGGCTCTTGCCATTTGCAGCGCATTTGTATAATATATATTATAATTTATAATGGATCTGAGGTTAGGCGCATAGGACACGTGATGAAGTATCCAACAATGATACGTCGTGGTCGTGTCCGATACCCAAAGTAATTTGTTAAAATAACATCTATCACAATATATTATTGTATTCTACATGATGATGTTAATATATAAATCAACGTCGTCGGTTTGAGATGTGCAATGTTCCTAAGCATATGCGTGTTCATGCGTTTGTAATATTTTACTAGATCTACTCATTTTCTTAAGGTATACTATTATAAAGCAAACAGTTTTGACAGGCTGAATATTTTCAACAATATTACTACGATTCGTACACTGCAGCACTATACAAAGACTTTAATAATAATAATAATAATAATAATAACAACAACAAGTAGGAGAATAATATCGAATCGATGGTTTAAATATAACTATAGACTTATACGATTCAATCTCGCACTTTATATTAAAACGTTATACTCGATTTATATTATTGTGGCTTGTGGCTATATAAAATATCGATGGATCACCCTCAAAGTTGTGCAGCGCAAGGTAAACAAGTTCGTTTTGGCGGTAACCGTCACGAGCATAATACAGCGCATTATCATATAAATAATAAATATAATATTATGCCGAGTACGATGAGTTAGAAGCGTCATCAAAATACATATTAACTAGGTGTGTACTCAGTAATATGTAAATGATTCTGAGGCCAGCTTATATCAATATTTTAGTTAATAATGTCACTTTATATTCGTACTATGTTCGCTGTCAAAATATAATGTAATAGTGCACTGGATAAAACTCATTGTTTCGATACATCACCACCTGCAAACAATAAATACCATAAAAGTCCACTGAGTATCATGGGTGATATATTACATTATCATGTGACATATCATTTATACGGTACATTCTAATTTTCAAATATTATTCGAAACGTGTAGTCGATTTTAGTTAGTTTGCAATGACAGGTAACGAATTATTGTTTAATATGCAAATTATAAATATAATGAACTTAAAAAATAAACTAATTTATTGCTTTTAAAAATAACTGCATAAAAGTAAAAATATGCGCTGACGTCAAGCATTTCGTTATCTAATGTAGCAATAATAGTGATTTTTATAAGTAAATGTATAGTAACTACATAAGGATACAATAATTTACCCAAACTACACTATGTATGATTAGTGTGTAATAGATATTTATTTTAACACTCATTATAATAAGAAAATCTAAAAAAAAAAGTTAAAAAGTTTTTAAAAATATTTTTTTACCTTTTGCCAGTCATTCTGAAACGACATGTTTTTAAATAAAACTATAATTATATTATTTTTTACCATCATCAATGTATTTCATTTTTATTTAACAGTATTCATTTTAGGTTCTCAGTGGAGTGATGAATTTATTGATTTTACAATGATGTATGTTTTTTTATTTTTATTTTTTCGTCTGACATCACCTATTAGAGCAGTTAAAGTGCTTTGGTTTTCTTTAACAATATCTTGTTCCATAGAAAAGAGAATCAAGTTGGTGTATTGAGGAAGTAAAAATGTAATAATCGCAAATAGTTTTTAAAAGCACAGAAGGAAACAAAATTAAAATTAAGGAAAAACGGGAATTTTTAAGCAAAACCGGTTTTCGATAAAATCAATTTTGGTTTTTGGTGCAACTCTAAAAAAAATAACCGTAAATACATGCAATTTTCACTTAATGTTTATATTAGCGTTTTCTATACAGGTTAGGTTCTATAAAGTTTTCAAAATATTTTGACTTGTTTTGAGCTGTTTCCGGACATATTTATAATAATATTATCTTATTATATTATTATATTTGCTACAAAAACAGCATTATACTCAGATATTATATTAATTAAGGATTACTTGTCACGTTGGTAAGTTTCAGTCCGAAACCCACTTACACGGCA